AAGTAGAAATTCTATTTCTAGGAATATATCCCAAGGATATTTTTGGTCAAGTGCTTAATGGCTTTACACATGAGGATATTTCTTAGTTTTATTTATTTTTGTAGATTAAGGGGATACAGATGCAGTTTTATTACATGAATATATATTGTGTAGTGGTGAAGTCCCAGCTCATTGGTAAAGGGCTGATTAGCTCCAGCTTAAATAGTGTACATTGTACCCAGTGGGTAATTTTTCATACCTCACCTACTTCCACCTTGTCACCTTTTTAGTGTTCATTATCTATTGGTCTACTCTATGTACCCATGTGTATGTACCCATTGCTTAGCTCCTACTTACAAACATGCAGTAGATTTTTCATTCCTGTGTTACTTCCCATAAGATAATGGCCTCCAGTTTCATCCAGGTTGCTGCAAAGGACATTATTTAACTCTTGTGACTGATAGTATTCCATGGTAAATACATACCACATTTTTTTTATCCACTCATTGGTTGATGGTTTCTTAGTTTGATTCCCTATCTTTGCTATTGTGGATAGTGCTGCAATAAACATACTAAGTGTAGAAATTTTTTTAATATAATGACTTCTTTTCCTTTGGGTAGACATCCTGTAGTAGGATTGCTGGATCAAATGGTAAAACTATTTTTAGTTGTTGAGAAATCTCCATACTGTTTTCCATATGTTGCACTAATTTACCATAAGGACATTCCTTGAAGTGTTGTTTATCATTTGAAAAATTAGAGGTTGAAGCCCAGCACAATGGCTCATGCCTATATGGGAGGCCGAGGTGGGTCGATTGCCTGAGTTCACAGGTTCGAGACCAGCCTGAGCCAGAATGAGACCCTGCCTCTAAAAGTAGCTGGGTGTTGTGGCAGGCACCTGTAGTCCCAGCTAATTGGGAGGTTGAGAGAATTGCTTGAGACCAAGAGTTTGAGGTTGCTGTGAGTTGTGACGCCACAAAGTGAGACTCTGTCTCAAAAAGAAAAGAAAAGAAAAATTAGAGGTTGGTTTAAAAATACAGCACATCCTTTCAATAAAATTTTATTGAGCCACCACAAAGAATGGTATAGGACAGTATTAGCTGACACAGAAGACACAAAGCTTCTCAACTTATATTGATAGGACAGTGAACACTGTGGCCCAGCCACATAGTGTGTAGTGTGGGCCCACTTCCCACATTGTGGGGGGTGCATGTGTGTCTTTGGGGGGACCTGTATGGGGTGTCACCAGAGTGTCAGGATAGTTGCCTGGATAGTCAGAGTTTGGGTTTTTGTTTATACTCTCTATGTGTTTTTCTGTATTTCTTTTTTCTTTTTTTTTTTTTTTTGTGTTGCAGGTCAGGGCCGGGTTTGAACCTGCCACCTCTGATATGTGGGGCCAGCACCCTATTCCTTGAGCCATAGGTGCCACCTTTTTCTGTATTTCTTGAAATTTCAATTTGAATTTGACTATTATTTTTCTAATCATTAAAAGCAATGAATGAACCGACTATAATTTTTGGAGAGAAAGTTTATTCTTCTATGGCCTCTCACGATTTCCTCACTTCTGATCAGTCTTCCTCGTTTACTATTCATGCTTTCGTTTCGTGCTTACTCTCTCTCTTTTGATAACTTTTATTATAGAAATTTTTACATTTTTTAAATGCCTATGTTCCATAACTAAAGCAGTATGTGCTTATTAGCAGTAGCTTGGTTGTTTGCATTCTTGGCAACACCTGTAGCTTAGGGAGTAGGGCACTGGCCCCATATACTGGAGATGGTGGGTTCAAGCCCGGCCCCGGCCAAAAACTGCAAAAAAAAAAAAAAAATTGTTTGCATTCCAAGATGAATGTTTTGGGTGCACTTTTTTCTAGTCTTTCTTCTGTACTGTGCTTGATTGTGTCCCTTGCAGCTGTGTAACCGTGTCCTTGGCTTCTTTCTTAGATTCAGCTCTGTTCAGCTCCTTGGGGATCTCCTCTTCCACATCTCAGGAGTTACTGGGAAGATGACCACAGAAACTGCCTCCGAAGATGACAACTTTGGAACTGCCCAGTCCAACAAGGTACCTGCCTCTGCAGATGGTAGGGTATACCCAGAGGCTCATGCTGTGGAGGCTTCACCGCCCTGTTCTCTGTCCCCTTGCACTGGCTGCAGGCCATCATCACTGCCTTGGGGGTCGACCGGCGCAACCGGGTGTTGGCAGGGCTATACATGGGCCGCTCAGACACCCAGCTGGTGGTGCGGCAGGCATCTCTACACGTCTGGAAGATTGTTGTCTCAAATACCCCGCGTACTTTGCGTGAGATCCTGCCCACACTCTTTGGGCTCCTGCTTGGTTTCCTGGCTAGCACGTGTGCAGATAAGAGAACAGTAAGTTTCCTGGGCCTTGCCGTGGCCCAACACCCCTTGGTGACTCCTTTCAGAGCCTGGAAATTTGGGTCTGCAGGGCCTGGGAGAGCACATAGGGTCTCTTTTCTAATAAGGAACATTAGTTATTTACTTAGTCACTCAGCAGATATATATTAATCATCTATTGTATGCTAAGCAGTGGCCTAGTACCTGGAGACGTATGGAGAAAAAAGATAGCCTCATCTTACCCTCCTAAGCTACAGTCTGGTCAAAAGATGGATTTTAATCAGATAATTACACAAAGATATATACTACAACTGTAGCAAGTGCTGCCTGGCAGTGCACATGCTTATAATTGGGGTGTTTGGCCTAGCAGAGTGTGTGTATGTGCGTGTGTGTCAGTGAACACTCAGAAGAAATGATGCTTGAAAATGAAACATGAGTAAGCACTAAGCAGCTGAGGAGGCGAGAGACCATTCTAGACTGAGGGAATAGTGCATTAGATACAAGGATGTGGGCAGGAATGTAGTATGTGGGAGCGGCTAAGCAAGGCCTGGGTGGCTAGAGTGTAGCAGCTGGAAGGAGCAATGTCTGAGGTGAGGCTGGTGCTGGTGGGGCAGATGAGTTCAGTGGTTGAGAAGAAGTGCCCAGGCTGGGCTGATGGTTTCTTCTGCCATTCCCCTTTGGCCCACTTCCAACTGGTCCCTGGTAAGCAAATTGGGTATTTGGCCATCAAGAAGGGCTTGCATGAGGCCTTAGAGAGGAGATGGTTTTTTTCCCTAAAGCATTTATTCCCAATGTTTAAGTTCCCTTGAGCAAAAGCACAGGGTTAAGATTTCATGTTGGACATGGTGGCTATAGCTCCTTGGGAGGCTGAGGCAAGAAGATTACTTGAGCCCAGGAGTTTGAGGCCACAGTGATCTATGATGATACCATTGCAGTCCAGCCTGGGTGACAGAGTAAGACTATGTATCTTAAAAAAAAAAGAAAAAATGAAATTTATTAGCTGGATGTGGTAACTGTTGCATATAATCCCAGCACTTCAGGAGGCCAGGAGTTCAAGACCAGCCTAGGCAATATGGAAAGGTCCTATTTCTAAAAAAATAAGCAAAACCTAGTTGGGCATGGTGGCATGTGCCTATAGTCCCAGGTAGGAGGCTAAAGTGGGAGGATCACTTGAGCCTAGCAGTTCAAGACTGCAGTGAGCTATGATCACACCACTGTAGAAACAGAGATAATTTTCTTTTATAGTATTTGGTAAGTACCTTGAAGGCTGCTGAGGGATAAAAGCATTTGGGGAAGTTGAGTCAGTGACTCACATAAAGCCTGCAAGATTCCAGTGCTCTCATTCTGGAATTGTCTTCTGGGTCCCCTGGGGCTTACTGACAGATTTAAATCTCTGCTGACAGATTGCAGCAAGGACATTGGGAGATCTGGTCAGAAAGTTAGGGGAGAAAATCCTTCCTGAGATCATCCCCATCCTTGAAGAAGGCTTGAGGTCTCAGAAGAGTGATGAGAGGCAGGGTGTGTGCATCGGACTGAGTGAGATCATGAAGTCCACCAGCCGGGACGCTGTGAGTATCTTCTATAGCCCCTCAGCAGGTGGTATGACCCAGAGGCAGGGGGAAGTTACAGGAGGAGCTTCACATGACAGGGTTCACCTAGCCCTCGCTGATGCACCAGCCTCACCCTGCAGGAGTGCTGGCCACACCACATTCAGACTTGAATTTCCCTCATCTCAGCTTTCTGTTTCACAGGCTAAGAGCTAAGCGGTTTGGAGGCCTCTTTGAGTGGACTTTGAGTAATCTCTCTGTCCCTACTCTGGAGGTTGCTCTCGAGGTTGTCCCTTTTGTGACACCAGTTAAAATGTGTGTTACCCCTTAGTGGAAGAGGCATACAGGTGTGTAAGAGATAGTGGGCTGTGGGGAGCAGGAGGGGTGTGCACTCATCCTGAGCAGAAGCAGAGCAGGTAAGTTTCAGCATCCAGTTGGTAGACATATACTGTCTGTAGCAATAATACTGTTTCTGTAGCAGCAATATGAAAGGGGTTTGGAGTACTTTACTCTCTAAGGTTTCACTTTAGTTTCTGAAGCAATGGAACCTTGAAACACTCCTGGGAAATAGGTTGAACACCCATGTAGACAGGCTCTATCTTCATCTTTGGGTAAAGACACAGAGTAATTATGTGGATGGCCACTTAGAAATGTTAAGGAAGTAGGCTTGGTGCTCATAGCGTCAGCCACATACACCAAGGCTGGGAGGTTCAAACCTGGCCCCAGGCCAGCTAAACAACACTGACAACTACAACAAAAAAACTTCCGGGCGTTGTGGCAGGCGCCTATAGTCCCAGCTATTTGGGAGGCTGAGGCAAGAGAATTGCTTCAGCCCAGGAGTTTGAGGTTGCTATGAGCTGTGATGCTATGGCACTCTACTGAGGCTAACATAGTGAGACTCTGTCCCCCAAAAAAGGAAATGTAAGGAATTAGCTAGCTGCTTAGCCCTGAGCATCCTAGTTTGATTTACTGGATCCCTTTCCTGTGTGTATCAATATATGTCTCATACTGTTTTTTTTAATTTGCATTTGACAGAGAATCAAATTCTGTATCCAAAAAGAGTTATGATTTATTAAATAGTTATTACATCTCCCAGAGGCTAAGTTCTTGCCCACAAGGCACCCACAGTCGAGGGGCAAGGCCAACCTGCCAACTAGTCTTTAGAGTCCAGAGTGAGCTTTGCTATGTGGAACTGGTTACAAAGGGCACAGAACCATTGTTGGCCTCATGGGAGACCCAGAGACTTCCTAGTGGAGGAATTACTTGGGTTGAGACTTGAAGAAGTTTTCTTTTCTTTTCTTTTTTTTTTTTTTGAGACAGAGCCTCAAGCTATCCCCCTGGGTAGAGTGCCCTAGCATCACAGCTCACAGCAACCTCCAACTCCTGGGCTCAAGCGAGTCTCCTGCCTTAGCCTCCCAAGTAGCTGGAACCATAGGCGCCCGCCACAATGTCCAGCTGTCTTTTGGTTGCAGCCGTCATTGTTGTTTTGGCGGGCCTGGGCTGGATTCGAACCCGCCACCTTAGATGTATGTGGCTAGCGCCTTAGGCACTTGAGCCACAGGTGCCGAGCCTTGAAGAAGTTTTCTAAGAGGATAAGCATAAGAAAGAATGCAAGGAGAGAGGAGGCCAGATTGTGCTGGGCCTTGCTTGAGGGAAGGCGTTTAAGGTCTTAGAGAAGCTTCTGGAGAACTCACCTAAAAAACTCAAGCTGTCAAGCCTGGCATGGTGGCTCACACCCATAATCTGAACACTGGGAGGCTGAGGCGGGTGGATTGCCTGAGTTCAGGAGTTTGAGACCTGAGAAAGTGTGTAGACCCCATCTATACTAAAACAGGAAAAACTAGCCAGGCATTATGGTAGGCACCCGAAGTCCCAGCTACTTGGGAGACTGAGGCAAGGGGATCATTTGAGCCTAAGAATTTGAGGTTGCTGTGAGCTGTGATGATGCCACAGCATTCTATCCAGGGCAACAGAGTGAGACTCTGTCTCAAAAACAAAAACCCAAATTAAAAAATGCCTCAAGCTATCTATTGGTAAGTCTGGGTAAAGGATACATGGAGGTGCATCACATATTCTGTCTGCTTTTTTATAGTTTAGCATTTCACGGTAATGACTTAAAAATTAGGCAGAGGGAGTCAGGTGGCCTGGCTGGGTCTGAGTCCCTTGCGTTTATCCCCTCACTTTTACTTATTCACCTTTTCTGAGCCTAGTACAATTGCAACTTGCTGTTGCAGGTACTATATTTCTCTGAGTCCCTTGTGCCTACGGCAAGGAAGGCTTTGTGTGACCCTCTGGAGGAGGTCAGAGAGGCAGCCGCCAAGACCTTCGAGCAGTTGCATTCCACCATTGGCCACCAGGCTCTGGAGGACATCCTCCCATTTTTACTGAAGCAGCTGGTGAGTAGATCTGCCACACACCTACCACTTTGGCTTTTACTCTCCTAATAGAAGCAAAATGCAGGGGGATTATTCTGCCAAGGCAGTTGGAATGCAGGCCCTTCAGAGGAAGTGGGTGCAGCAGAATCAGATTTGGCTTGTGCTTCTCCTTTGACTGTAAGTAAACGTAGGTGCTCAGGATGGGGGAAGCAAGTGGAGAAGGAGGCTGTCAGGGGCTGGTTCAAATAGCAAAGATGTGGACAGGAGCCACTCCTCAGGATTCCCCAATGTTTCTCTGCAGGATGATGAGGAAGTGTCTGAATTTGCCTTGGATGGTTTGAAGCAAGTTATGGCCATTAAGAGTCGTGTGGTTCTGCCCTACCTCGTGCCCAAGGTAAATTCTAATACATGGGAAACACCCTCTGGCCTTGAGTCCATGAGGCTGTTCTAGCAGGTGCATAGCATCAAGTTGATGTTTTTCATTATTTCCATCAGCTAACGACGCCCCCTGTCAATACTCGGGTGCTGGCTTTCCTGTCATCTGTGGCAGGTGATGCCCTGACCCGACATCTTGGAGTGATCCTCCCAGCAGTCATGCTGGCCCTGAAGGAGAGACTTGGGACTCCAGACGAACAGCTGGTGAGGGGGTTATGGTCATGGTCACTCCAAGTGCTTTCTAACAGCCATCCTGTCCTTCCTCTGGGGAACTACGCCAGTACATATATGCTCTGTGTTTTTTAGGAGATGGCCAATTGCCAAGCTGTGATCCTCTCAGTAGAGGATGACACAGGTCACCGGATCATCATCGAGGATCTGCTGGAAGCCACCCGAAGCCCTGAGGTAGGCATGAGGCAGGCTGCTGCCATCATCCTCAACATCTACTGTTCCCGCTCAAAGGCGGACTACAGCAGCCACCTGCGGAGCCTGGTCTCAGGCCTGATCCGCCTCTTCAACGACTCCAGCCCTGTGGTTTTGGAGGAGAGCTGGGATGCCCTGAATGCCATCACCAAGGTAAGTCAGACTCCAGACCCCAGAACCAACTTTTTTTTTTTTTTTTGGTAGAGATAGAATCTTACTCTGTTGCCCTTGGTAGAGTGCCGTGGCATCACACAGCTCACAGCAACCTCCAATTCCTGGACTTAGGCGATTCTCTTGCCTCACCCTCCTGGGTAGCTGTGACTACAGGTGCCCACCACAATGTCCAGCTATTTTTTTGTTGCAGTTTGGCCAGGACAGGTTGAACCTGCCACTCTCGGTATATGGGGCCAGCGCCCTAGTCACTGAGCCACAGGCGCTGCCCCCAACTTTTGATTATAGAAAAGTGCAGACATTGAATGATAGACTCTTATAAGAATCCCCCATGTATCTATCATCCAGCTTTAACATTTATCCCCTCATGCTGGTCTTGTTTATACTGTCACTAATGCCCCCTGCTCCTCCCAGCTGTATTAGTCTAAAGCAGTCTTCAGAGTGCTGTACATCTTCTCTGCTTTTTCCTGGATTTCCACAGAAGCTGGATGCTGGCAACCAATTGGCACTAATTGAAGAACTACACAAGGAAATCCGCCTCATAGGGAATGAGAGCAAAGGCGAGCATGTCCCAGGGTTTTGCCTCCCGAAGAAGGTGAGCCAGGGCTCCATGGTGCATGGGCTGTGGGCTTATGGCTTTCCTGGGCCTTCCAGTACCCTTACTCTAGTCCTAGGTCTGCAGTAGGACTGTTGGAATAGCAGCTGTGTCAATCTGACATCACACTTTTGTGCTCAGTATGTTCACAATGTGTTTCCTCCCGTGGTGGCTAGATGGGGATGTGGTTCATGCCACCTTTAGTTTAAGCTGTGGGGGTCACCTTGGCCAGAGCCAGTAGGTCACAGAGGTAACAGCAGTGTGTGTTACCTCTGTGTAATAGGTCTGTCTTTTTGTCACTATCTGGTCCAGATTCTTTCCTAGCCAACACCCTCTTAGGCTGTGATCTTGAGGTTGAGCCCTAATCATTTTCTCCCATGAGTTGAGGAGAGGATGGTTGTCAGGAGTGCCTTACTTTGTGTGGAAGACAAAGAGATTTAACCTTCAGGTGTGGTTCTCTTGTCAGGGAGTAACATCCATCCTTCCAGTGTTACGGGAAGGAGTCTTGACTGGGAGCCCTGAACAGAAAGAGGAAGCAGCCAAAGCCTTAGGCTTGGTGATCCGCCTGACCTCAGCTGATGCCCTGAGGCCCTCTGTGGTCAGCATCACCGGCCCCCTGATCCGCATCCTGGGGGACCGGTTCAGTTGGAACGTGAAGGCAGCTCTGCTCGAGACACTTAGCCTTCTGTTGGCCAAGGTGGGTGACTGATGAGATCCTTCTGTTGGTCCATTCAGATTTGTATGCGTGGGCCTGACACATGGTGTCATGTGGTAGCCGGGCAATAGCTTTACTGTGGAGAAATGGCAGAGAAGAGGCCATGTAGCCATGGTTCAATCCCAAGTCCTCCATATGGTAGCTATATCACTGGTATGACTTAGGAAAAGCCATATAACCTCTGAACCTATTTCTTCATCTATAATATGAGACTAGTAATGCTGTGCCTGCCTGATATCCGGACATTAGTCAAAATAATGTCATGGTGCCTGACATATACTAATGCTCAATACATGTTAATTGCTATTATTTTGACAAATTACTGTTTCAGAAGAAAAAAATTCAGGATCACATGAATGCAGTAAAAAACACTGTTTAAAGATGCTTCAGGCTGGGCTTGGTGGCTCATGCCTGTAATCCTAATACTCTGGGAGGTTGAGGCAGGAAGATTGCTTGAACTCAGGAGTTCAAGACCAGCCTGAGTGAGAAGGAGACCCAGACTCTACTGAAAAACAGAAGAAAGAACTGGGCATTCTTTTGGGCACCTGGAGTCTTGGCTACTCATGAGGCTGAGACAGCAGGATTGCTTGAGCCCAAGAGTATTTGATGTTGCTGTTAGCTATGATGCCAAGGGACTCTACCCAGGGTGACAGAGTGAAACGCTGTCCCCCCAAAAGAAAAAGGATTCTTCAACTCTTTACTATAGCCACATGAAGGGAGATATAAAGAATCTGATGAGAGGGGCAGCGCCTGTGGCTCAAGAAGTAGGGTGCCAGCCCCATATGCCAAGGGTGATGGGTTTGAGCCCAGCCCTGGCCAAAAACTGCAACAATAACAAAAATCTGATGAGAGGATGAAGTAGTCTGAGAATAAATAAAATGACTTTAGTTTTTGCCAAAAGTATTAAGAAGCAAAGCTCTGATGGTATTAACCATTTCTAATGTTTTATGGTGCAACAATTAATAATTTTTTAGATTTAAAAAAGTATAAACAGGCTTGGCACCTGTAGTTAAGAGGCCAGGGTGCCAGCCACATACACCGGATCTGGAGGGTTCAAATCCAACCTGGGCTTGCCAAACAACAATGAGAACTACAACCAAAAAATAGCTGGGCATTGTGGTGGGCGCCTGTAGTCCCAGCTACTTGGGGGGCTGAGGTAAGAGAATTGCATAAGCCCAAGAGTTTGAGGTTGCTGTGAGTTGTGACGTCACAGCACTCTACTGAGGGTAACTCTGCCTCAAAAAAAAAAAAAAAAGAAAAGGAAAAAAAATATAAACAGAGCCAAGATTTGTTGAAAACAGAATTTCACATGGGCTTCCCAAAAACAAAAGCAAGCTTAAAACTTGTAGGGATTGTTTTGGTCTAATTTTATAGAAAATTGAGTATTTTTTAAATTTAGTATCATTTTCATTTGCATTCTGTGCTGTTCTTTCCTGTGGTGTTTATAAGTCTAGATGCAAATGGAGCCCTTACCTCATGGGATTTGTCCCTGAGGCCATGCATCAGATATCACCATGGGCAGGTGGTTCCCACCACAGATTTACCAGCTTGCTTCTGGGTGAACCTCCCAGTAGCCTGGAGGACTCTGAGGCCATTTGTTTCATAGGCTTGTTCTGTTGGCTAAATGTAAAGTGCTTAGCCCGTGTATCAGTTGTTCAGTAGACAGTACCTGCTTTTACTACACATCTAGTCCATTTTGTCTTTTGGCATTAGAACTGCACGTCAACATTGCTGACAGCATTGGACTGACCTGTTCTTTATTCAGAGGAGGCTGTAATCCTAGCACTCTGGGAGGCCAACTTGGGGGGATTGCTTGAGCTTAGGAGTTCGAGACCAGCCTGAGCAACAGCAAGTCCCTGTCTCTAAAAAATAGCCAGGCACAGTGGTGGGTGCCTATAATCTCAGCTACTTGGGAGGCTGAGGCAAGAGGATCACTTGAGCCCAAAAGTTTAAGGTTGCTATAAGGTATGATGCCATGGTACTCTACCAAGGGAAACAAAGTAAGACTCTGTCTCAAAAAAAAAATAAGTATTCAGAGAAGAAGAGGAGATTTTGAGCTACTTATCTATGTGGACAGATATTCACTAAGCCAAGCCCCAATACAGCCAAGGCTGTGAACCAGCTCCCTGGGAGAAAGCCACTGACACTTCCTTCTCTTCCTCTAAAAATGATGAAGAGGCTGAGCAAAGCCTATTATGGGCTGTCCCTTCCTCACCCCATGTGAGAGATGGGCTACCTGTGGTGGATTAGGATTGTCATTTGTTCTTGCTCCTACAGCATACTGAGGTCTGGGGCTCCTCCACAGCTGTGCTTTTTGGGTGCATGTTCCCCTCATAGGTTGGGATTGCCCTTAAGCCCTTCCTGCCCCAGCTGCAGACCACTTTCACCAAAGCCCTGCAAGATTCCAACCGGGGTGTGCGCCTGAAGGCTGCTGATGCTCTGGGGAAGCTCATTTCCATTCACATCAAAGTGGATCCCCTCTTCACAGAGCTGCTCAATGGAATTCGTGTCATGGAGGACCCGGGTGTCAGGTGAGGTGCTGGCAAGGGAATGCTGTGGACTGGAGGGGCCCAGGTAGCTGTGTTTGTGCTGGTGGGAGGGGCAGTGGTAGAGGAGAGCCAGGGGTTAAGTCAGTGCGTTTGTTCTATAGGGACACCATGCTGCAGGCTCTGAGGTTTGTGATTCAGGGAGCAGGGGCCAAAGTGGATGCTGTCATCCGGAAGAACATCGTCTCACTCCTGCTGAGCATGCTGGGACATGATGAGGTATGGCTGCAGGTGGATGGTAGGGCTGGCAAGCTCCACTGGTTTCTCTTCTTCTTTCTTTGGTTGGCTTCTTTGCTGTGTGCTAGAAGAACTTGATACAGCTGCCAGCTAGTCAGTAGCAATAACATGCATGATGTTTATATCACTCTTCGTGTTTTACACCAAGGATTTCCTCAGGTTGTGAGAGGGATGGGGCAGCTATAATCGATATTGATTATTCGGTTTTATAGCTAAGGCAAGTAATGTTTGTAGAGTCCCAGATCTCTCAATGATTTTTCTCTCTGATGTTAAGTCACTGTCCCTCTCCATTCCTCATTTCCCTCTGTAAAATGAAGAGGCTCATTTATTGGTTCAGGAAATATTTGCTGAGCTGACAGGCCTAGACCAGAGGTGAATAAGCCCCTCCTGTACACAGACCTCAAGAAACTTAGTTTCTGATGGGATGAATGGTCTCTATGTATGTCCAGGTGGGACATCTTAGATATCTGTTTTAGAGGGTGGCACCTGTGGCTCAGTGGGTAGGGCACCAGCCCCATATACTGAGGGTGGTGGGTTCAAACCCAGCCCTGGCCAAACTGCAACCAAAAAATAGCTGGGCATTGTGGCGGGCTTCTGTAGTCCCAGCTACTTGGGAGGCTGAGGTGAGAGAATCGCCTAAGCCCAGAAGTTAGAGGTTTGGAGGTTGCTATGAGCTGTGTGGTGCCATGGCACTCTACCAAGGGCGATAAAGTGAGACTCTGTCTCTACAAAAAAAAAAAAACAAGTAGTAGAGTCAAAACCAGATTCTGGGCTCTCTGACTTCTGGTTCTGTTCCAATTCCATTAACCTCACCCAGTCCAGAAGCTTTTGTCAGAAAGCCCATTGGCTGCCTAGCACACTGGCAGGTCTAGTAGGGAGTTGAGTCTATAGGTAGGAGATTTTTTTCTGTTTCCTCATTCACAGACAGCCTTCTGTGTGTGGGGCTGATTTATATTTGTAGGGCTAAGCTTGAGAGAGTGGGCCTTTGGGCTCCTGTGGTTTTACACCTCATTGTGTGCACACACGGGGCTGGCCCGTGCTTCTGCAGCAGTTTTCACAGCCCTCTGGGTCTGGTTGTGAGCCCCAGCCACCTGCTCTGTGACTACAGCCCTGGCCTCTGTGGATATAAACAAGAGAGTAGTCTCTTTTGGTCACAGTCAGTCTGGGCTTTCAGAGTCATGTACAACATAAGCAAAAGTTAGTATTTAAACAAATTTGCATTTCACCACAGCAGAGCTTAAAATAGCTGGAGATAGAGAGAGTGAGTGTCCAGGCCAACTTGAGCCTTGCGTAGCACCAGGGCTTCTTTTTGGAGCTCAGAGGTCCAGACTGCTGGCAGCCAGTCCTCTTAGTCTCAGAGCTTCCACTGGGATTGAAGGTGGCAGTCCAGAGTGCCAGCCTAGCATTAGCTTCTCTGTAGGTTACTGAGTCCTGTTGTTGGTTGGTTTGGGGTGGGGGACACATGTCAAGTTGCCACTTAGTAGTAATACAGCACATAACTTAAAATCCCCTCCCTCGGTATTCAATAGTTAGCTGGCAGCGAGGAGTAGCAAGGAGCCAATTGTATACCTGGCTTTGATTTTGACAGGAGTCTTCACTAGGCTTCTTTAGGTTGTTAGTGACTTCAGTTTGACTTCTTAGGACAAACCCAAATAATTTAGGTAGCAGTGGGGCACTCACACCATGAAGAGATACCAGAGAGCCATTCTGGCCACAAGATGAGATACAAGCTCCATGGGGGAAAGGAGTTTGGAGTGGGTGTCTCTAGCTAGCTTTCAGGGACAGGTGCCTCCCTCTCAGAGCCC